AAGGAAATTTCCTGTATATTACGGTTGCACAGAATTCTTTGCATTATACGAACAAATTCTTTGTAAAAGATTTAGAGTGCACTGTGAAAAATTGTCGTTCCGGGTACAGACAAATTTTCCATGATGGTAGATGTCGTACAATTTCAATTCAAAATTGTAAAATTTACAAGCCCTGCGTATCAAATAACGAGAAAAATTGGTTGGTTGTTCATGTACGACTCGTTTTGTTAAATGGGAAATTACAAAACATATCGTACATGTACAAAAATACTTTTCACAGTATGTGTTTCAAACGGCGAGCAGTTAACTTGCCGAGAGCCCCTGGCCCTGGTAGCACAGAACGACGAAGGTTACGACGTAGGGCGCCCCCGTCACCGAGAAGAGGTCGAAGTAGCCCTGGAGTATGATCATGAGCATGGTGACAGTGGGCACCACGAGCATGAGCATCATGATGAGGGTGAAGGTCTGCATGAGCGACCGAAGGTTGGCGCTCACGTGTGCCAGCTTCACATCCACTATCGCCACCTGGCAACGTGTTTGATGTACAAAATAATTCATAAAACAACAGAAATATATTTTTAAAAAGACGTAAAATTGCAGTAGTGCGGCCTAGTCGCGTCAAGATTCACAACCTCTCTGAGCTTCTCGGGCGTGTCGGCGGCCGCGGCCTGGTCGGCGATGACGTCCTGCAGAACGACCTGTATCTTGTTGAGTATCACGTACATGAAGAAGAAGTGGCACGTCGGGTAAGCGAAGGGGTAGGCCACGCACATCTGCACTATCCACCCGATGACCACCCACTCCTTGCCAGGTGGCCACGGCGCCAACTTTAAGTCCAGTTCTTCCTATGTCCAACAAACCAACAAAAAAAACATCCCAGAACGACGTTTATTTTGTCATTGTGGCGTCGTATTGATAATATCGTGTCAGCATCCGTTTCCTCACTAGACGATTTAAAGCTGTATGACAACTTTTCTGAGGTTCTTTACCTGTGAAAACATAAAAGGCACTGCGATAGTTGCAACATTGGCTGTAGACCACCATTTGCCCGTCCGTAGACATAAATTGATGAAATCAGCCGTGTCCTCCAACTGGCGCTGAAATGCAGAAGGGCATTGATGCGGAGCATTATTAAATATTTGGCGCAGTTCAGAACGCAGATGTATGCGGTCGCGTCACGAACCATTACCCAACCCACTCCCGTTTTGAACTGTCATGGTGTTCTACAACACCCCTTTCGTCAAGTTCATAGGCATCTCTCAAAGTTTCCCGAGTGTTCTGATCGGCTACCCGAGCTGCAGATCTAGTGGACCTGTCTTTTGTTCTCGCTGCCAAAACAGGATGATCGGAATAGCGGAATCCTCGTATTCTATCGTACTACTACTAAAATACCCAGCTTATTATAAGCTTTCCCCGTGCCTACCCTCTTCCTAGCGATGCTGTCGGGCGCCATGCGCTTCCCAATTTCAGTAAATCTGACAAACACTTCGTCCAAATGAGGCCGCCCGTGGCTCATCATGAAGTGCAGAGTGTAGATCATGGCGACGAAGGCGAGGGACATCCTCGCCCCACGGCTCATCTCCACGAAGGTCGAACGGGTGTACGAGCCCCCGATGAGGAGCGATGTAAAGGGGAACGACACCAGGAAGGACCACTGAAACGGCACGAATAACGCGTCGAAACGATATGTTCACTGGAAATATGCTGGAGTCAGATATCTTGTCTCGGGAATTGGTGTTGCGAGCGGTTGCGAGAGGCGGTACCTTGGCATGCGACAGCAGCACGCGCCAGAAGCGCGAGTGCCTGTTGTTCGGCGTGTCGACCGTGCTGTGAATTTCGCGGCAACTTTGGTACTCATCGAACATCCGCTCCATTCCGCAGCAGGTCTGTGTGCAGCTCAGTTGTTGTGAAGTAAATCGCAGCAGCGCGCTAGCGCATTGCTGCACCGACTTCCACCAATCGTGTCTGCGTTGAAGTGCCTGCTCGGGCTCCCGGGCTCTGCCTGTGCCCACACATGTGCCTCTCAGGCGTTTCACTAAGCTTTATTGATCTTATCAATTTTTTTTGAGGTGTTTCCCGCGGAGCATCGTGAGTTATGAATGGAGCTCACCCTCTACGTCTTGTCATACAACGACTGCATCCGATCTTAATGTCATGGCTTATTCAAAATTAAAACAAAACCCCCTGCTTATAAAGCTGGGAAAAATTCCGGTGTTTAGGCTAAAACAGTTTTTAGACACTCCCCATAAGGCTGTCTTCACCAGAGGAGAAGGACCCCCCCCCCTTTCACTCTCTATATGGCTCAGAGCAAGCCCTTGAGTGTGTGGCTGGCGGGCTGGAATGTTTGGTAGAGAGACTCAGAGTCTCTCTGAGTCTCTCTAAGTGTTTGGGCACCACTGCCCCTTCCCCGCACGAGGCGGGCGGCAGAACAGAGGGACAGGGAAAGAGGGGGGTGGGGGGCGGGGGAAGCCGCATAACTCAAAGCGCAGCAGGAGGGCGATCGGAGAGCTCCCTCCATGCGATTCGCCTGCGTGGCCTGCGCCGCCACGATACAGCTGCGCTCAACTCAAGACTGTGCGCATTGGCTTTGTGGTCTGACCGAGGGGACTGTCTAGTTCTTAGCCCTGTGGACTATTTTTTAGACAGTCCCCTAAAGACTGTCTCTACCAGAGGGCACCTCTCTCTCCTCACCCCTATTTTTTTACGTGAAATGTGGTGTGAGGGGGGGGGGGCAACATTTTCCCCCTGTCGCGAGTCTTGAGTTGGAGCTGGATGGTTCCTAAAGACCAAAAAATTAACTTGGAAGCGTTCAGCTCCCCTGCCTGACCTCTTTCTCTCTCAAATAAATAATAGATGAAACACGGCCATTGGGGTGGCCCCTATAAAAACATCAATGTATTTGTATGTTTCTGGACACACCAAGGACCCTACACTACAACTGAAAATTTGGCGGTTAAAATAAAAGAGGGCCCACGAACCCTGGACATTCTGTAATTCTGCACTTAGGCTACTGTGCTGCAATTCAGGCGTGTGGGTTGCCTGCCTATTTGGTGCCTGTTAGGAGTCCAGGGACGCCATGATTCGTTTTTGGAGCAGGCAGCACACGAATCCACCTACGTGCGATACAACGTATAATTACAATGGAAAGCCATGGGCAACACTGTAACTTGGCCTGCAATTTTTTATGAGTAACTCGCCTGGTATGTTAATGATATGGCATTTGACAAAGAGGGGCGGGCATTTCACCACTTGTCTTAAAATGACACATTTCTCATGATCGCTTCTTTGAGCATGTCGTCCACCAGGTCGTTGTGTTCCTTGTGGAAATCCTTCCACGCAGGACTTGTCATGACAACGCCAATTTTGTCCACCGCGACCGACAAAGCGTTCTTCTTCAGGAGCACCGCGTTTACCTTGTCTGCCAGGACGAGCGTATCTAGCACGTTGGCGGTATTCACCTGTTGACAAATAGTTCCGTCAAATATTATTTTAATCATTGAAAGTTGTTGATTATTGATTTTTCTTTGTTTACTTTTTGCAACCGGCTGACACCCAAAGGCAAAAAGTTATGAAAGTTTCCCGTTTTGATAAAAATTCCAGTTCTGATAAAGTTTGCCGGTTGTCGACTTCCAACAAGTCGATTGACGTTTGCGAAAGATCAGTTTGCCGTTCAGCATAGCCCCATTCTCTCTGGGGCTCGACGTGACGACGGCCGCGGTCGTCGTGTTTCTACTAGGTCACCTCGTACACGACACAATAAAATAAACTAGCCTTCTACATACGCCCCACGCCTCGCCGCACTTACACTTGAACGCAAGCGAGTACTTTTTGCAGACTCTCCAGACTGTTGCTCCAGCTTGCCGCCCGGTTTCGCTAACCGAGTCGTTTCGTATGCTTGCCCCAATTGAGTCACTAAAACCCCCCAAGTTTTAATTTCGCCGATTAACGTTCCACTTTTACTTTTGACAAGTAGATTTTAAGTATTATCTAGATACCTTATCGAATTTTGAACATGCAAGTTCCTTGCCTTTGCGCCAGAATATTTTGAGTCGGACGTTCTTTACCGACCGGCCGGTAATTTTTTTTTTTTTTTTTTGGCATTATAGTGATTAGAATGAGCGTTAGTCGTACCTTATCGAACATTTCCCTTTGGCATAGGACTTTGAGGCCTTCTACTTGGTAGCGGTCTGCTATCAACATCACTTGCAGCTCCATTTGCTCGAAGTCTTGCACCTGCCCCGAATAAAGGTACTCGAGGAACTTCTCGAAAGCTTCGGGCCAGGGCGCGTCCTCGACGGTCACCTGTAAAGTAAAACGTAACGGATACAATCAGTCGAAGTTCGTGCGTTGCAAAATGACCACGAAACGCTCGACGAAACGGCTATGCGCGATATGTCCCAGTCCCAGTGACAATTAAAACGCAGTCAAGACGATATGCAATCCAATCGTTTGATGAAATTACATCGATTCGCCATGGGCGAACATGGGTGATATCGTTTTAAAATGGCATTTCCCACTATCGTCCCTCACTCACCACCATCTCCTTGGCCTCCTTGAAGTCCAGAGTGAACATGCTGCGGAACACCGGGCTGCGCGCGCAGAGCACCTGCTTGTGCGCCGGGATGGCCACGTCCCCCAGCAGGAAGGTGACCTCGGCCAGCTCGCGCATGCTGCGCAGGCGCGCCCAGTCGGCGCACGGCCCGCACGGCGTGTTGCGGTAGTGCGTGGACACCCGCGCCGCGAAGCTCACGTCGTGCAGCTGCAGCGTTGGGGGCGCGAAACGAAACGGCATTTAAAAATTTAGGAGTCATTATCCATGAGGCAGTTAAAAATTGGTATCGAAAAAATGTCGCCGCGATTCATAAACGACACATGGCGATATCATTTCAATATCGATTCTATAAATATTGTTTTGAATGCCGTGCACGAGTTGTTCCCCGTGGCAAGCCGCGGGTGACACAAGCCCTCCCTACCGCCGCACCTCGGACACCTCGTCCACGACGAGCAGCTCCCCGTCACCCTTGAACAGCTTCTTGACCGTGGAACCTTTGACGGCGGCGCGAGCGTCGAATCTCGTCGACACGACGACCTCCACCTGATATCACGTACAGACCGTTGAGAATATGGCGGAATATCAGAAAGCAGTTTGAGTGTTGGGATTTGCAAACAACGCGGGCCACCTTGATGCAGAGGTTCTCGGGCCGCTCGGCCTGCACGTTGTGCAGCAGCAGCCGCAGCGACGAGTCGTCGTCGTCCTCGGGGTCGCCGACGCGCACGTCAAGCGTCCAGGACAGGCCGGCCGCCGGCGACTGGTAGCGGATGAGCGTGGTGGCCTCGCCCTCCACCGAGTCCTTGTAGGCCCACTCGCACTCCAGCGTGCAGAGGCGCGTGTGCTCCAGCGGCTCCCGCTGTGGCTCGTCCAGCCGCCCCACGGTCCGCGACTCCTCGGCCGAGTCCTGGGGGCGCACCGGTAAGCGTCGCCGTCCCTCTCCCTCCACGCAAACCCCTCCCCCTCTCCCCGATCGATTCTTTCGCTCCGCTGCTCACCAGCACCGGGCCGTCCTCGCTGCTGTCGAAGACCGTGGATCTGGAGAGGCCGTCTGATGCCTCGACGTCCCCCATGTCCACGCCGTCTGATAAGCTATGTGCCGCGCCCACTGTTAGAAAATACCACGGTGCTCGACACAACAAGACCGCCAACAACCTCGCCGCCCAGCCCACGCGGGGAAATGCAACAATGCCTCGATAACTCGGAAGACACCGGGAAAACCATGTTTTGTATTTATTACTCCATTTTATTTTCGGCAAAACAGTTGTTTGAACCAGAGTCTATCTAGCCGTTGACGCTGCGGATCATCTGCAAGAACGAGTACCACTGGCGCATGGAGTCTTTGAACACGGGGAGCGTCACTCCCCCCAAGAGTGGGACGCGCACCGAGCAAGCCTTCTGCGCTCGAGTCATCATGTTGAGGATGACCCTGAGTGAAACACGACCAACACGACGGTCAAATACTGTCGTTCCTTTGAGAACATGACCATCAAGCTCATCGCCCTCGGCACCACACCCACCTGCGCAC